GTTACCGGAAACACACTATCTTTTTTGTTTGGCCTCATGTGGTGCATGCAGATAACTTATTCGGTTGTTGGTTGCTTGTGGTAAGCAGCATCATTTATAGGGCAGAATTATGTTTCCATTGATTTATCATCCTTTTTTTTTTTTTTTTACTTCTGTACTTCAGCTGTACAAGCTGTTTCCACATGTATGTTGATCTAACCTGACACTAAAATATTTCTGCACATTCATAATGCACCTTGCAAGAATAAAAAATACCGGTACAACAAAGTGACAACAGTATGATGCTATAAAACCACACCACTGACGGTCGTAAAAGTGTCCAAGAGCATCTGTGGAATAGACAGCATAATCGATGAAGTCAATATGAAGTCAGAGCGAAAAGGGGAAAAAAAAGCTACTGCAGCAGAGCCAACAACTTTACAGTACTTTCCAGCAGGCTCAGATGTAGGCTGACCCAGCTTTGGTGGGCCGTCATTCTGAGGAACAGATGTTGACCTTGCCAGGGAGGCTCAGAGGAAGCGCGGTAGCCAGCTTGAGGCCCAGGGCCCTGGAGAGCAAGTCAGTGTAATAGAAAAGGCATTGAGTGACACTTGCCCTTGGAGAGTTACATGTGTACCCATGGCACTTTGCACCAATTCGCAGCTCATCAGGATGTAATTTGCAGTTAATTAGAGCCAGGCTACAAGCTGAGAGGTAAAAATAAACCCCGACCATCCCAAGACTGCATGTACACCTCCACCTCTTCATCTGGCACCCTCAGTCGCCTAGTTTTCTCCACCTCTTCCGTCTCTCTCGACTCATGGCCTACTTAAAACACAGAGCCCGGACCCAGATGCTGTATGATATTTATGTATTTATGTATTTATTTTTTTATTTATTTTTTGTGAATTCACCCAATAACCCCAAATGAGCTTTCATAATAAGAGACTCAAAGAAATATGCTTTCAAATTACTGTATTTTCCTCACGACAGTGAAACTCCTCTACAACGAAATCATGTTTGCACCCAGAATTTTTTCACAACGGGACTTTTCACGATAGCAAATTTTATCTCAGACGTAAACACAAACACACGCAAAAACCGTATATGTCTACTTTTAATTTTTATTCCAATAGCGCATAAGTATGAGCATACACTTATTTGACACTTCATATAGCCAGCGTACAAAGAAAAAAAAGGGAAAGAAATTGCGAAATTACCGATCAGCATTCAATTTCACTTCCATCAATTTCTTGCACAATGTCTTTTACTTTGCTTCCTCCATCTTTCATGTTTATTACTTTTATCCTGTCTTTAAGTGTTAAAGCTTTTCTTTTCTTCACTCCTTGTGAAGAGCCTTGGTCTGCAAAGGTCAGTTTTGTATGCATTTTATACCGAGCAATGCAACGTTCGTGCTGTGTCTGAAACTAAGAGTGACATTTCTAACCACATGCTAACAATAACAAATACTTCCTGTACTACTGAGCATGTGTAAGCCAGTGTGGTAGTTGCTGTTGCCGTTTGCGAGCTAAGCAGTAGAAGTCGCTGTGGCAGGCTGAGGTTGGATTAGACTTTTGCGGGAAGGCTTGTTTTCGTTGTAGTGAACCTCACTGCAAGGCAAGAGTGGAGAAAAGGATTTCGTATTATGCAACAGGGGGACTTTTCATTGTAGGGGAAAGCAGAAAACAGGGAATGGCTTTAATACATGATTTTTTTCACACTAGGGGGTATTTTCGCACATGTAGGTTTCATTGTAGAGGACTTTCACTGTACAAGGTGCTCGGGAGTATAAGACACAACTTCAATGAATGACCTATTTTATAACTGTTTTCATATATAGGGCACACCGCATTACAAGGTGCATAGAATAGAAGACACATAGTAGCTGCGGTTGCGTTATGCATCCACTAGATGGAGCTACGCTAATGCAAATACAATACAATACAGCTTTATTTATACAGACCTTTCACAACCGCTGCACTTGCAACAAAGCGCTTTACAGAAGATTTAAAATACTACTAGTATTGTTCCATATATAAGGCACATCGGATTATAAAGTGCATTGTCGGCTTTTGAGAAAATTGAATGCTTTTAGGTGCGCCTTATGATGCGGAAAATACGGTACTGAGTACAACTTGTTACTTTGCAGCGACCTTATGTGTTAAATTATTGTAAATGATGCATATTAATAATGTGAAATAAACTGTTTTGTGTGCACATTTTCTATCAATGTTTATTTCACAATATCATTGCCCCCCCCCCCCGTCATCCCAGAAGTCACATAGAAGGTGTGTCTCTAATGGCAGGCAAGAGAAATGAACGTT